CTGGCTCTGTCTAAAGATAACAAATTCTACCTACCAGAACCCCTAAAGCTCACTAATTATCGCTTTTATCTTGCCAATTTAATCAGTGTAAAGAGGACATGTTGCAGTTATACACCAGGCGAGGTGGATTTTGACCTTCAGACGGGCCAGGCTAGCTGTTTCCACGCTTTGTGCTAAGCTAAGCTAACTGTCTGCTGCAGCTTCATATTTAACAGACGGACACAAAAGCGGTGCTGATATTCTCGTCAAACTCTTGGCCAGAATAAAAAAATGTCAAACTGTTTCTTTGAAGCTGAATAGCTTGTCCAGTCCTTCAATAAAATTCTGATGTAGAAATGTCAGACAAGTCATTTGCTGACTGCAGGGCTTGAAACCCCCCTGCTGAGCACCAAATGGTGAGAAAGTTGTCCTTTAAGTCAGACAGACAGGGATCCAAGGACAGATGATTTGCCTTTTCTTGAGTGTCACAGTGCTCTTAATAAAGAGGAAGCTTTTCTCTTTCTGCCTTGGTGGTTAATTAACAGCCACAAAAAGCAAGAAAGCTATTGAAAGTACCTTGGAGATAGTTTGAGTAAAAAAAAGTCACTTAAGGCCGAGATGTGGGTTTAGGGTAGAAAATTGACCTTGAGTTAAGTTTTTTTGTCAAACATCCAAATCTTTATTGGATTTTTTGCGTTCTGCACCAAAATTACAGCTGTAAACCGACATGGAGACACGTTCAGACTTATATTTGGACTGTACATATTATTCTTGGCAGGTGCATGATAGCGGTTTATCAAACCTCAGCAGGTGTGTGAAAAGGTTAAATTTGGCGACTAGATGGACGACTTTTCCATCAAGAATGCCACGAGTGCCTTGCATTTTTAGAATAAATGCAACTGGTGGGATTTTTAAGGATTTCTGCTTTAACGCTGTTAAGTTATCGACGTCTTTTCAGGGGTTTAAACTTGAATGTATTCATGTCTCAAAATGGGAATGGGTTAAAGACTACAAAGGTTTTTACAAGGCTAATTTTACAGTGATCTACAAATGAGCAGAGACGTTTCTTGCAGTAGTTTAATACTATATTCTGCATGAATGCACATAGTAATGAAATGCTGTTATTTTTAATCTGTGTTTATTTTAGCTCCACATGCATGAGGGCAGATTCCACACTTGCAGAACCCTGTGAATAAACCTTTTCTGGATGTATGTTTGGCTGTCCTGTCAGCTCGTCAGATGAGGATTTATCTTCGAAAGTGACGCTGTCATTCACTCTGCCTTCCAATCTCAACCTTTACAAAAACAGAGAAACGCTCACATCTGCGCCAAATACTTGTCACTTGCCACCTTAAATTTGAGAAAAAGCAAAAGTGGAGGTCTGAAAGAGGCTTGTTTATGACTCTTCCTATGTGCATGTGAGGCCCTGCGGAGGCCTAGCTAACAGAGGAGTGGCAGTCAGCAGGCCCGGGTTGCTGGGAGGACCACATGCCTCTCTCCACCCCTGCAGGATGTGTAGGTGGTGGGCTCGCCTCGCCCAGAATAGGCCATGAGAGCCTCAGCCCAGGGAGCCAGGCAGGCCTTGACTCAGCCTGACTGAGTTAGGAAAGACAAACGCTGCTTGAGAGAAGACCGTGCTAAAATGATCATCTATAAGTCTATACCTCGAGTTTTATTTCAAGCTTTTGCTGTTTGGCCGACCTGCTGGCAGCCGGCTGATAGCACAGTGGATCGTTAATATCCACGAAAAACCAGACAGGCAACAAAAAGTTAGTTGAAACAGGTTGTTGTGACGTGTCAGTAGATCCATTTAGTAAAGTTCTATAGTTAATGTCAAGTTTAAACTATTTATTTGTTCATTGTCTTGTTGTTACCTTAGAATGAACTGTTTTTATTTACAGATGTTTCCATAGAGCTGAACTGCCCAGTAGCCCAGAACACAGCCCGTTCTCATTCAGTTAGTTCACTGCTAAATGCTACACAGTGCTCCTTTAATCTCTACAGTACGCCACTAAAAACAGAAATATAGAAACACAATACCAGAAATAACAATCCGAATACAAACAGTGTCACCTGTGAACACATCTGGAATGGAGTAAAGATGGCAACTTACGTAATTAATTCTCCTTTTTTAAGCTATTATTTTAATCAATCCATTTCTTTTTATTCTAAAAACAGAAAATTAAGCTGTTTCTGGTCTAGAAACCGGCTTAAAATGAAGGTAGTGAGTTTGAGTTTAGGACACTGGGAGGATGTATGTGAGGTGCTCAAGGTACTTAAAGCCCAAATAAAAATGTGCAAATGTAGCATTTGTAAGTAGAAGCCAAGTCAAAAAGATGAAACTCAATAAAAGTGCTTATTATTTCCTGAGAACTTTTCAGCGGCTCAACCTTCTGAATTTCCATCTATATCATGACTACCGTCTGCGTCAACGCGAGCCTTGAACGTAACACCAGAGTCAGTGCTGTAAAAGAAAGTAGTGACGCAGCAAATCACTGTGGGAAAGTAATCTCACGCCAATCAGTATAAGCATCATGATGCAACAACCAGCTCATGAAAAAACAAGTGGAAAATGTGACCATTCAACTTATCTCATGATTCATGACTAAAGATCCTTTATTAAAGCCTGACTAAAGCTTTGGGACTCAAATGTGGCAAAAGTTGTAAGAAAAAGCAGATATTTACATTTGGTAAAATGTACGGCTGAATGCACTAATGACTCAAATTACTTTAAATATAATTGCAATAAACTCAGTTGTGCTGCCCTGACTGTAGCGTTTATGACAGGAAATCCTCATTATCTTTACATTTAGAGAACAGATTATCTAAAAAGTACACATATTATTTACTTATTAAGTACGGACACTCCGGTAAAAGTACTGATTCTATGTAAAAGTGTCTTTGTTTCTCTACAGGACATTTCTAACAGCTGTTTCTGTGCAAAACGCACTGAAACTCTTTTACGTTATTTTGTTTATGTCACGTTTTGCACCAGTCTTGATGTTGGGAAAGCAAAATAATGATCATAATAATAATAATATTAATATTCGACAATTCCCTTCAGACGCATTAAAACTAAACTTACTAAAGTAATGAGCTTGTAAGGAGCAGAAAGTACAGATATTTGTGTAAAAAGGTAAAAATAAATACTCAAGTAAAGAACAGATAGTAGTAGTTAAGTATCTGTACGAACATAGAAACCACACTGGTGTCTGTGCATCATGATCGGAATAAAGTTTAAAAAACAGGTGCTACTTGATGTTTTAGGGGTGCAAGAAAATATCCAAAATATCGCACTGTGATATTTTGTTTTGTGTTATTGTATCGATCTCTTACATACTACCCCCAACCGCTAGATAGCAGCGATGTGAAGGTAAACTGAGGGCTTTTTTATGCAGATGGTGGTGTGTTCTTTACAAAGGGATGCAACCAAACACTCAATTCAAAGGTTCACGATAAGATTTTCTCACCTTTTTTTTTTAAAGAAAATTAGATTGAAGACAAATTAAAGATTCCCTTTTAAGACAAAAATATCTAAAAGAACATAAAAGAATCCTTTTTTATTTCTCTGATCGGGTATAAACTTTGAGCCTTGATACCATGATTCATTTTTCATCTCACCGATTTGAATATTTGTATTACGTCAGAACTGTGATATATCTTTACATTCCTGTCTTTATACTACGTCAGTTTCCTTAAAATTAGAGTGAAAATAACCAAATCAAATTGAATTGTAACCTCTATAGTCAGATCCATGCCAATACAACCCTACTGTATTTACATCCTAACTCAGGAAGCGGAGGAACAGTCCGAGAACGTCTTAAGGCCTTTATACTTGTTCTTCACGGCCTCAGAGAGACCTGCACACGTTCAGCCTCGATGGTGCTGGTTGTACACGTGAAGAGTTACAGAAGTAGCTGAAGTAGCATGAACACACCTCCACACGCTGTACCGGCCAATAGCTGCCTAATGATTGTCGGTTGTCAAGTTTGTAAAAGTGTGAGAGAAGGTTTAAATGTGGTATTGAGCAGTCTGACGCAGTGTGTAACATTTCATTTAATATAATATTCATAGGTATGTTTTTATTTGCGTTTCTGGAGGTTTATAAAGTAAAATTTAGGGAGATGATCCTCTTCTACGGAGTCCGCCATGTTAAACCGCCATGGTTCTTTCTACAGTAGCCCAGAAGGGACAAACCAAACACTGGCTCTAGATGGGGGCTTTTCACAAGTGTCATGGCCACTGTAGTTTCTCCTACACACTCCCACAGCCCGCTCTCGTTTACAGAGGCGAGTGATGTTCAGTTAGCTGCAATCTGCAACTTCACAGTAGCTCGATGCATTCAGTACATTATAACACCGTAATGCATTAAATAATTCCTTTACTGTACATTTACAAGTATCACAATAAGATATTTTTCAATATTTTCTTGCATCTCCACCAAATATTCTATTAAAAATGAGGATTTGATGCTTTAATCTGACGTGTGTGAAAGTAAATTGAACATATTTGGGTTTTGGATTGTAGGTCAGATAAATGGAAGCCACATAAATCAGTCGACTTTCGGCTCTTAAGGAACAGAAATGTTTCACTCATTTCTGACAAATGAAGAACTTGTTAGTTTCAGCCCTAAATACAAGAACACAACTAACAGATGTTTCCACTTTTGTGACGTTGAAGGTCTCCTGGCTTTAGTTCACAATGTGCAAATGTGTGAAGTGAATGAATATATATAGCTGCAGTGTGACTCCTGAAGCAGGTCATATAATAAAGAATAAAATAAACCTGGTTTCTGCTATTCAGCTATAAACGCACCACAATGTGTTTCCACTAATAGAAACTGGACAATCTCTTCATAATGCTCACTGTCAGAGTGTTAGTTCAACAGCCGTCTGCACAAACACCCTCAGACTGATATCTAACAGCCTGCCATCTTACTCCAGTTTTATCACAGCAGACGCGTGTGTGTGTGTGTGTGTGTGTGTGTGTGAATGGCAGGCTCTAATTGAAGTCCTGCTTCACAAAGCGAGTTTAGCCAGTTCGCCTTTTCACCTGGAGAAGCGAGGCGTGCGCTGGTACAATGGCACCACGCACACACACACACACACATACACATACACACACTCACTAGCTTTCCAGGTGAAGTGCCACGCAGCAGACACGGGTTACCTCAGCCCCTCCATCTATACTTGAACTCACAGTGATGCAGGAAGAATTTCCCAGTTCCCCAGTGTAGAACAATAATGCAATCATCCTCACTGTAAGGAACCGTGTGTGTGTGTGTGTGTGTGTGTGTGTATGTATGTGTCTGTGAGAGAAGTGTTCTCAGTCCTTAAGAGCATCTTAACGCCTCATTTCATGGAATTATTAAGTGAATAATGTTTTAGAAATAAGCTGAATGAGCCGAGCAGTAAGTTGGTGCTCAGTGTTTACAATGACTGTCACCTTTCAGCTCATAATGGACATTCATCACGCACAGGAGTGGCAATAATT